CCCCTGCCTGAGAGAAACGGCCTTACTTGGTCAAATTCAGGCATCACGTCACAGCTTTACCCACCTTGCCAGTTAAAATAATTCCACAACTGAGCACTGGGTTGAGAACGTCATTAAGAGCAAAACCAGGGTGCTTTGCTGAGCAGAACTACTAACAATGAGCAACAGAAAGGAATGTGAACCAAATTTAAGTAGCTGGTTAAGGGGCAATGGGGTTGCTGGGAAACATCCCCAAACTGCCAAGCAAGAAATAGATATCCCAATATAACATTATTCATGCATGATGTTCCATGCCCTGCCTCTGACCCTTTGTGATAAAGCATGGAGAGCCATGGATGTTGCGCAGCTGGTTCAGTCAGGCTCCTTCAGTATCTGCGTGTCGTAGTTGCTAAGTGTGCAAAACAAGTTTAATTTAACATTTAATGTTTGGGGGAAGCAATCAACGAAGGAGGTGGGGGAAAGCATTATTTAACCCTGTATTATTATTATTATTATTATTATTATTATTATTATTATTAAAAAGCAGAGACATCACCTTGCCAACAAAGGTCCTTATAGTTAAAGCTATGGTTTTCCCAGTAGTGATGTATGGAAGTGAGAGCTAGACCATAAAGAAGGCTGATCGCCGAAGAATTGATGCTTTTGAATTACAGTCGTACCTCAGGTTAAGTACTTAATTCGCTCCGGAGGTCCGTACTTAACCTGAAACTGTTCTTAACCTGAAGCACCACTTTAGCTAATGGGGCCTCCTGCTGCTGCCATGCAGCCGGAGCACGATTTCTGTTCTCATCCGGAATCAAAGTTCTTAACCTGAAGCACTATTTCTGGGTTAGAGGAGTCTGTAACCTGAAGCGTATGTAACCCGAGGTACCACTGTATGGTGCTGGAGGAGACTCTTGAGAGTCCCATGGACTGCAAGAAGATCAAACCGATCCATTCTGAAGGAAATCAGCCCTGAGTGCTCACTGGAAGGACAGATCCTGAAGCTGAGGCTCCAATACTTTGGCCACCTCATGAGAAGAGAAGACTCCCTGGAAAAGACCCTGCTGTTGGGAAAGATGGAGGGCACAAGGAGAAGGGGACGACAGAGGACGAGATGGTTGGACAGTGTTCTTGAAGCTACTGGCAGGAGTTTGACCAAACTGTGGGAGGCAGTGGAAGACAGGAGTGCCTGGTGTGCTCTGGTCCATGGGGTCATGAAGAGTCGGACATGACTAAACGACTAAACAGTAACAACAATTATTATTAGATGGCATTTCATTCTGATCATCTCAGTGAGGCAATGCCACTTTCCTTTCATAAAGCAGGTGCCGTTCTTTCATGTTATCAGTTCAATATCAGTGGCATACAATATGTATCGCTAGGCCTCAGGTACCACACAAAGGTACCTTGGCTGCTTCATCCCTGAGAATCTGATGTGGATGTCAATCAACAGAACAACTTTTTTTTTGGTAACGACTGATGTCTTACTGAGCTTCTTTTAACAAAACAGAGTGTGTAGGTGCATTTTGTTTCTGAAAAAAGTATTTTGCTACTGGGCCTTTCTTGTCTAAATTCATATTGTTGAACTCATATTTTCAAACTGCAGGCGACGGCAACAGAACTTTGGGTTTAACACCGTGTCTGCCCCCATCATGTAAAAAGTGAGGGCTGGGTGGGCAATTTCATAGCAGAAGAGGAACATGGGTGAAATGAATTAAACCCTCTGGCTACCTGTTCTTTGAACCTCCTTCATAGGCTATTCTAGCTGGGCTCTTGACACCAGCTCCGGACTGGAGATCCTACACCTTTGTGCAAATTAATTGAAACAAACTACCGTATTTTTTGCTCTATAAGATGCACCAGACCATAAGACGCACCTAGTTTTTGGAGGAGGAAAACAAGAAAAAAAAATATTCTGAATCTCAGAAGCCAGAACAGCAAGAGGGATCGCTGCGCAGTGAAAGCAGCAATCCCTCTTGCTGTTCTGGCTTCTGGGATAGCTGCGCAGCCTGTATTCGCTCCATAAGATGCACACACATTTCCCCTTACTTTTTAGGAGGGAAAAAGTGAGTCTTATAGAGCAAAAAATACGGTATGTAGTTTATTGTACAAAACTCACATATGAATGTATATATGTGTACAAAAGTCACATATACGTACATTAGTAACGGATATGACGTCTGCTATTTTTAAGCAGCATTTCAACATGGTTTGGCATGGAGTCTAGTCGTTTTGAACCGTCACTGTTGATTTTCGGATCCCTGTACCACACTTGAATCAGCGCCTGAATGAGCTTCTCCATAGTCATACAGTCTACAGCACGGAAGTGACTTCTGCATATAGCCCACAAATTCTCAATGGGATTTACGTCTGGGGAATTCCCTGGCCAATCAAGTACCTGTATTTGCTGCTCTGTCATGAATATCTTCACCACTTTCGATGTGTGACAGGGGGCTAGGTCCTGCTGCAGTATCCCAGTACCATCAGGATACCTCTTTTCCAGCTCTGGAATAACTCTTTTTTTGTAGAACCTCAATATATTGTGGCGAGCGCATCATTCCTTCTATTGGCTGTAGGCTTCCGACACCATAATGATCAACTGACTTTTCGTGCTTGTTTTGAGCACAGGATTACGAGTAAGATAGAAAACATGCTTTGTTTCAATTAATTTGCACAAGGGTGTAAGTGCTGGGTACAAGGAGAGTTCATTTCCCACCTCAGCCATTCTCAGTGGGAATGCAAACCACTCAATGCTAAGTTCCAGGGAGCGAGAGGATCCTGCAAAAAGCTGGGCTTACCATCGCAGCACGGGATGTCACACACCCACACGGTCCATGAAGGTGTGAGGTGGCTGCTTCTGATAGCGGATGCCATACAGCCTGCTCTCCACCCCATAAGTTGCCCTTCTGCCGTCAGATGTCATGGGAGAAAACACTGCCCCATCACCAGAGTTGAAGTAAGATTCAGCCACCAATTCAGTTGGCTTGTTTAGGAAGAATTGGGCGCCATCTTGTCCTTTGTCTCAGGAAACAAAATGTATTGGGCCAGCCCAATTCTGTAATAGACGGAGCCAGAGGCAGGGTTTAGGAAGGAGTCTGTGAAGCTGTGTACTAGTACTGAGTTCATACACGCCAACATTTCTCTGATGAAAATAGGGACGGCTTATTCTATTATTATTATTATTATTATTATTATTATTATTATAACAGTGGTACCTCGGGTACAGTGATGTGTGGTACAGTGGGACACGGGTGGCGCTGTGGGTTAAACCACAGAGCCTAGGACTTGCCGATCAGAAGGTCGGCGGTTCGAATCCCCGCAACGGGGTGAGCTCCTGTTGCTCGGTCCCTGCTCCTGCCAACCTAGCAGTTCGAAAGCATGTCAAAGTGCAAGTCGATAAATAGGTACCGCTCCGGCGGGAAGATAAACGGCATTTCCGTGTGCTGCTCTGGTTCGCCAGAAGCGGCTTAATCATGCTGGCCACATGACCCGGAAGCTGTACGCTGGCTCCCTCAGCCAATAAAGCGAGATGAGCGCCACAACCCCAGAGCGGGTCATGACTGGACCTAATGGTCAGGGGTCCCTTTACCTTCACCTTTACCTCGGGTTACACATGCTTCAGGTTACATATGCTTCAGGTTACAGACTCCGCTAACCCAGAAATAGTACCTCAGGTTAAGAACTTTGCTTCAGGATGAGAACAGAAATCGTGCAGCAGCAAAGAATGAAACCCCACCACCCCAACCCCATTTTAATTGATTCTGGCAGGAGGGGAAGAAATCATCCCATTCACAAACTAAGAAAGACAACTGTGTACTGATTGGAGGAACATGTCGATTCCTACAGCTACAATGCCATAAAAGTCAAAACAGAATTCTATCTACAGACAGGAACATCCCTGTCTTGTACGTACATAAAACGTGTGGGAAAGCACTCCTGAATGGTATTGTTCATTTATGGTATCACTCACTTTAAGAAGTCAAGGCTGGTGAATTTCAAAGGGTGCGTTACAAAGGCTACATTTACGATGCCAGCATTTTATTTCAGAGCAGTGAAATCTTGCATGTTTTATCGAAGCGCCTTCGCAGCTTCAATAATAGGAAGAAAGAAAAAGAATAGTTGGGGGGGAAATGATAAAAATAAAACCCACACTAAAAAAAATATAACTCTCCAATATTTCAAGCTTTCATCTTTGTCAGCCATGGAGAGAAAAGATAGTTTACAAGGAAATGAGCTTTTGATGTTTACATCTCTACTTGAGCAAATGAATGATACTGCGATAGAAGAGCTCTCTGACAATTCTCTAAGATAACAGAAGTTAAAATTCAAATAAAGAGTACTCAAAATGTTTTAAAAAAACCACAGCTTGCAGATTTTGCAGCCGAAATCAGCCGCAGGCTTCCGATTTCTCTTTTTACGAACCAGGAAAAGTCTATGAACTGGTTAAAAAGAAAATGGGGGGAGAGTCAAGGTACGATACTACCAAAATGGAGATTCCGTGCCGTATCTTATTATTATTGCAGTGGCGAAAAACAATTGCCAATGAAGTTAGGCACCACGTTATCCAACAAACACACAAACCTTGGGCCACCCATGGAGGTACGCATGGCAGTGGACTGAATTGGAAAGGCTGGCTGTTTTTATATGCAATGACAGTGGCAAGAATATTATTGGCACAAAAATGGAAGCAAGAAGAATTACCAGTAAAAGAAGAATGGAGGATGAAATTGATGGACTATGCAGATTTAGATAAATTAACAGGAAGGATTCGAAACCTGCGGGACCAGAGATTCTCAGAAGACTGGAGTAAATTTCCGAACTATCTGAAAAGCTATTGTGATGAACAGATTATGCTAGCAGGATTGCAAGAAGTTTTGTAAGGTGAGTTATTTGAGATATTGCAAGAAAGACTATGAGGAGAACTATTAGTTAAGGATAATTAAATGTAATATAAAAGTTAAGAAATGCATAATAAGTGATAGAGAACGGAAAAAATCATCAGAGGTGTTGATGGAAGTCCAAAATATTGTATAAGATGAGAAGCTATGTTGTATGACTGTTGGAATTGATATGTTAAGAAATTAATAAAAATGTGTGTGTGTGTGTGTGTGTGTGTGTGTGTGTGTGTGTGTGTATAAAAGGTAAAGGACCATTAGGTCCAGTCGTGGCCGACTCTGGGGTTGCAGTGCTCATCTCGCTTTATTGGCCGAGGGAGTCGGCATACAGCTTCCAGGGTCATGTGGCCAGCATGACTAAGCCGCTTCTGGCGAACCAGAGCAGAGCACAGAAATGCCGTTTACCTTCCCGCCGGAGCGGTACCTATTTATCTACTTGCACTTTGACGTGCTTTCGAACTGCTAGGTTGGCAGGAGCAGAGACCGAGCAACGGGAGCTCACCCCGTCGCGGGGATTCAAACAACCGAACTTCTGATTGGCAAGTCCTAGGCTCTGTGGTTTAACCCACAGCGCCACCCGCGTCCCTATATATATAGAGAGAGAGAGAGAGAGAGAGAGAGAATTGGAAAGGCTGGCTAAACCTTTTGGCCCAAGGACCGCATTTAAGAACCACATGCCTGTGGCCACTGAGAATGCACTCAGTCTTGCATATTTGCACTGTGCTCACCAGGCATACAGACCCCATACTGCCACCACACATGCAGTCCACCCTCCCTACTTTCTCTCCCCTTCGCACACATGCAGATATTTGCTGCATGCATCCCCAACACAGCACTAGGCTAAGAGGAAAGGTTGAAACCTCCTCGTCCCCTAAGGCAGTCCTGCAACGAGAAAACCACCCCAGGGCTTAGCAGCTAACCAGGGTTTGTTTCAAGCCAAGATGCCTGGTTCTCACTTCACACTAAACCGAGTGAGATTCTTTTAAAACAGAAGTAAAGGTGGGGTAAATTCTGCTCCTGGCTCCAGGGGAGGAGAGTATGCAAGCCTGTTGGGTCTCCCTGAGGCTCGTACACAGTGGAGCTGCTGAAAGCGTGGTCTCCTTCATGGAGAGCACGTGTTGAGGTGGGGGCCGCTAAGGCACTCCAAAGTTGTGGGGCGGGCTAATTGATTATTGGCCACTGTTGTGATTGGGCTTCCCTTGTTGTTGGGAAGAGGTTAATGTTGCTATTCTGTGATTGACAGCCAGAAATGGTAAAACTCCCTGAACGATGCGTAGAGCTTCCTCTTTTCGCTCTGTGCATCGGATTGCCCGTCTCCCCCCCCCCCCCCCGTTTAGGGTTGGTTTTTGCCTACTGCGTAGTAAATCGTCACAACTTGTAAGGTTGTGGTTAGGCATTGGTTTAGGGTTTGGTTGGTTGAGGGGCATGGATTGGCTGTGCCTGCCCCTCTAATGCTGCTGCTGCAAGGGTATTCCGTTAAAGGAATACAGGGGCTCACCATTGCTTTTGTCCGAACCCTATCAAGGGACTAGGGCCACGCAAGAGCCCCTGGTTGCATTTGGGGAGGGCTGAGGGCAGCCTACTTTCGCAGGCTTGTGAAATGTCAGTCTGTCCCCACTGGAGGCAGATAGTAACAACCAATGCCTAAGCAACCACTCATTTTTGTATTTTAATAAAGTTGTGGCCAGAATTATGCCACAAACCTTAAACAAAAATTCCATGTGATGTGTGAGTTATTTGGGGTGGCTTGGGGACCTCGACACGCAAAAGGAGAGGAGGAGACGAAGGCATTCGTAGAGACAGTCTTCTTTCAGCTGCTCTCGAACACTCAAGAGTGCATTAGGAACTCAGGATAGTGGGATGGTGTGTGTTGAAAGGGAAACTCTGGGGAAACCGGCAGGCTCCCCTCAATATCACAACTGCCGCCTGCAGCATTTGAAAATGTATCCCCCACAACTGCGAGAGCAGTAAAGTTTGAAAGGCGGAAACCCGAGAATTTTCAGGACACAATTGTGGGGCGGAATTCCTTTTGAGCAGAGTCACAGCGCTAGACATTCCTGAAAATGGGAACTGACAGAAAGGTAACCCTATAGCTAGACATATGTAGAATATATGGAAACCATATATTTAGTCACGGAGGTACACAAAGTGAATGCCAGGGAGGAGGAACCAAGAGAAAACTGCACAGACATTCATTTGTAAACAGAAACTGGCTTTAACTTGGGCTGGAAAAACACCAACTAGATCATGATCTAGTTTTAAAGTACTTTTTAGAAACGAAAAACAAATGTGGTGACCTTTTAGCCCTGCAAACTTGCATGAAAGCACTGCAGCCACTTCCGTCCAAAAGGTTAAGGATTCCTAAAGCAACACATGGGCATCATTTATCTGGATGAAAATTGAGCCCAGTGACCCACAACATCGCCGGTGACTCTTTGACTTCAGAGGCAGCTTAGTGGAAATTCAGCAGCTAATATTATTTTGGCTCCCAGGGATTAATTAAAAAACAATTAGGCTCTTCTTCTTACCTGTAGCAAGCACTGAGTGGAATTAAATATCAGCTGCCTGAACTAGTTGGCAGAAGTGCTTTTTGCAAACATCTCACGGTCTGTTGTTATTATTTTTTAAGTATGACTTAGCGTGCTTGAACAATTTTCTCGACTGCTCCTAATGTATCTTCTCCATACAAAAATTAAAACAACAACAACACAATGATGAACTTCTTCATTCAAGTTTCTTTCCCATCCTGTCTCTGCTTCAAACCCACGCTTTCTTGATTTCGTAACCTACAGCTGGCAACGGACTTCTCTTCCGACTGACCTTTATAAAAGAAGGCTGCAAGAAAACGTATTCCAAGATTGGCGGAGGTTCACCGGGCTCTGCATACTAAACAGCAAAGCCCAGATGATCTCCTTTTGGGGTGTTGTTGTTTAGTCATTTAGTCGTGTCCGACTCTTCGTGACTCCATGGACCAGAGCATGCCAGGCACTCCTGTCTTCCACTGCCTCCCGCAGTTTGGTCAAACTCATGCTCGTAGCTTCGTGAACAATATCCAACCATCTCGTCCTCTGTCGTCCCCTTCTCCTTGTGCCCTCCATCTTTCCCAACATCAGGGTCTTTTCCAGGGAGTCTTCTCTTCTCCTGAGATGGCCAAAGTATTGGAGCCTCAGCTTCAGGATCTGTCCTTCCAGTGAGCACTCAGGGCTGATTTCCTTCAGAATGGATCGGTTTGATCTTCTTGCAGTCCATGGGACTCTCAAGAATCTCCTCCAGCACCATAATTCAAAAGCATCAATTCTTCGGCGATCAGCCTTCTTTACGGTCCAGCTCTCACTTCCATACATCACTACTGGGAAAACCATGGCTTTAACTATACCTTTTGGGGTAGATGATGCGTAATTTTAAAACGGGGCAAAGTCCCTAGGTACACAGAATGCTGCCTTGTAAAAAAATGTCAGATCCTTGAGTCATCGAGCTCAGTACAGTGGTACCTCGGTCTTCAAACAGCTTAGTTCCCAAACAACTCAGAACCCAAACCCTGCAAACCCAGAAGTAGGTGTTCCGGTTTTTGAACTTTGCCTCGGAAGCCAAACGTGCTCCTGAGCTTCCGTTTTTACCGCTGCGCAGCAAATTTGAGTCGCCCCATCGTAATTATAGTTTGAGACACCTTCAGGCAGTGATAAAGCGGGATATCAAACCCAAACTCTCTTCTTCTTTAAAATGTTTTGCACTTCTGCAAACCTCCGAGTTCTCTTCCAGATACCTCTGTATTGTGTCGTGGTGGCTCCATGTTGGCCACAGTCTTGTCAGTATTCACCACCTGAGTCACATGAGCAAAATCCTAGGAGCAGAGGTCCCTCTGCCCCCCCCCAAATAAAATATTTGAGGGGTCTGGGCCCCTCCCAAGTTGATGGGCGTTGCCATTCAAATGGCTTGCGTGTGCTGCGTCTTGTGATTGATTATTCAGAATGGGGCTAACCTGCCCCCCCAATACTTTATTCAAGTTGGCACCCCTGACCCAAGTTGACTATTAAAGGGCGGGAGTGATGATGAAACTACTTTGTAGGAGACAGGTTTGAACTTTAAGCTTAGAAGGAGCCAATAGCAGTAACAGGAGTAAAAAATGTTGTGTTTACATCAGATTGGTGTCATGGGTGTGCTGGCTCTATGGATGTATTTTATTGCTCTGTTTTCTGTATCATTTAATAAAGATGGAGGGGGGGGAGAATTTGCACAGAACAGAGGATTTCAGCAGGTGTAACTTTTTAAGCGCCACTTTGGAGAAAAGATACCGTATTTTTCGCTCTATAAGATGCTCCAGACCACAAGACGCACCTAGTTTTTGGAGGAGGAAAGCAAGAAAAAAAATATTCTGAATCTCAGAAGCCAGAACAGAAAGAGGGAAAAGCAGCAATCCCTCTTGCTGTTCTGGCTTCTGGGATAGCCGCGCAGCCTGCATTCGCTCCATAAGATGCACACACATTTCCCCTTACTTTTTAGGAGGGAAAAAGTGAGTCTTACAGAGCAAAAAATACAGTACTTCTTGCATTTTTAAAAAATGCCATGGACAGCACAAGGAACCTTGTTCCCCAGCAAAGAGAGCAAGTCTGCTTAAAAACCGTGCAACTTTAAGGTCCTGTGAGGTTGCTCCAGAAAAGGGAAACCCGGTACTCCTTACTTCGCTGAATGCAGTACAAGAAAAATGTTTAATTTTCAGCCTCACCAGAACGCCAGCTACAGAAGAGGAGGGGGACGTGACGGCTGGGTAAATTGGCTGCTTGCGGTCATATGATTGAGGGGAAGAGTCATTTGGGAAAAGACATTTCTTGCGCTGAAAGATTCTTAGCCAGAATGCGCCTGTTATGGGAAAACAGTCACAAGATCTTCATTAAAAAGCATTATGAAAAGGGTGACGTTGAAGCTAGTTAAGGGCAATGTCTGGGGCATATATACCCCCGCTGGTGGTTCTGCAATATGAATGAATCTGCAAAGGGCTACAAAGAGGAGGGCGATTACGGGACTCAGCTGCTGACAAGAGTTGAACTTTCCACAGCCTGTGCACAATAGCAAATAACAAAAGAGAAACCCCATCCCACCCGCCACCAATGCTCGAGTTTCTGTTTTGTATTACAAAAATGACATCAATTATGTCTTCTTTCCATCACAGGATCTTAATGAGATACAATAATGGAGGGCAATCTCTGTGTGGCAGTTTCCTTAGGACACACACAGCAGAATACTTAAAATTGCCATCTTCTGGCACCCTCTCGTTTTACAACTGGCTTTTTATTTTTTATTTTAAAAAAAACTTC